ATCCTTTTTCTTTTCTTTGTATGGTGAGGCTTTTAGCAATAATTTCAACTTTTACATATTTAGAGAATTTTTATTATGTATTTTTAAAGTGCCTCCAGTGTGTAGAAATAATATTATCAGACTTGGTCTGCATAGCTGTAAAGAAACTTGCCTGCCAAAATTTAAAACATTTTGCAGAGAATGTATGGTTGATAAGTTGGATGAAGCCTGAAGCCAAAAGTTAGCTTAAAACATTAAACTTATATGGACTCGTTTTAACATACCAGTTTGATATGCTTGTTTATTACTTACTGCTCTAATGACAGGTGAAAAGTAGGTGGGAGAGAGAAACTGAATATAAAAAGATGGAATTTAATAGGAACCCCAAACTGATTAAAATCGAAGTAGGAAGGGGGAGGAGAAAGTGTCCTGGCTTACTAAAATATGTGAAAATGTTAGCGGAGATTTAAACAGTAACTCAGTATGAATTAATGTGATACAGCCTCCAAAACAGTTGAAATCCTAGGTTGCATTAACAGAAAGATGAATATATAGACGTGGGAAGTGATAGTTTCGAATCCTGAATTTCTTGGCATTATTCTTTCTTTTCCTTTCCTTTCCTTCCCTTCCCTTCCCTTTCCCCCTTCCCCTTCCCCTCCCCCTTCCCCTTCCCTTTCCCCTTCGCTCCCCTCGGCTCCCCTCCCCTTTCTTGTAGGGGGCAGAGGGAGAGAATCTTAAGTAGGCTCCACGCCCAGCACAGAGCCCAGTCTCATGGCCCTGAGATGACCTGAGCCAAAATCAAGCGTTGGACGCTTAACTGACTGAGCCACCCAGGCACCCCTTGGCATTATACTTTAAAAGGGATAAAGAAGAACTGGAACTCACTAAGAGTAGAATGAGCAGAATGGTAGAGACTAAAACCATGTCACATAAGGAACATTCAAAGGTATTGAACACTCAAAGGCACTGGGGAGACTTAGCTTGCCTCAGAAGGACCCCAAGTGCTAGATAGGAAGAATTTGGATATGCAGAAGTCCTTTGGGGTTTTATTCTTGGCCCCCTTCTCTAATTTTATTTTCTGTTTGCTGCGCTTTCACCTCCAAAATCAGTAGGCCTGCCAGTTTGGGGAGCTTGAGGCCAGAAGAGTCATTAGCATATGGCTTTTTATATATTAATCAAGATAGAAGATGGGGGAAAAATGGTACTCAGACCTTCTCCAGGGGCAGAACTACTTCTCAGAATATAAAAGTCAAGATAGCTCTGAAAGCCTAGAATCAAGGGAACATTGGATGGTGGAGAAGAGTCAGATGAACTGGCAGTGAGGACAAAGGAGGCTGTGATGCTCCTCAGTCCCTTGGTAGTGCAAGAAAAGCATATCTCCCTTACTCCACTATCTTTCTATGGCAGAGAGCATGAGAAAACAATGACATCCTCTCTACAGTTTTCCAAGTCTTTTGTAATAGTCCATACCCATTTCTTTTTTCCTCCATGTGAGGGAAAAAAGCCTGAATTTATAGTTTATAATTTTGGGGTACTTGTATTGGTAGAGTATAAATGTCTTGAAGGCAAAGGTCCTCTTCATCTCTGTAATTCCTACATTACCTGTTAGAGTGCCTTGCTGATACAATATTTTTCTCTATATAAGAACCTGCTGAAGTCTTTCACCTATCTGCTTATTATTGGACTTCATACATACCTCATTTAGAGCACTTATGTTCCATTGTAACTTTTGGTTTGGTACATCTAATAATTTGTAAGCTCCTCTAGGATAGAGTTGTAACTATCTTGTTCATTTTGATTTCCCCAGCACCTACTACAGTATCTGGCACATAGCAGGCATTCAGTAAATTTGGAATAAATAAATTATGTAGAACTATAATTAGATCAAATGTTAAGAATTTGAGGACAGCTCTAAAATAACCCTTATTTTATCAATGTGCCCTCTTCCTTCTCCTTTGGTCTCCTTGATCTTACTACTTTAGACCCTTTCACTTACCTGCTTTTGCACCTCCAGTGTGACATACTGATTAGCATCCCCAGTATATGATCTTGTCCTCTCCTATGAGAGTAAATCTAAGAATAGATTTGGTAATAACTCCTGTATTTTACCTTAACTTAGGACTGTCCACATCTGTACATTGCTTCTCATGGGCTGCTCAGATATGAATCCTCCAACTGAGAAATCGTAAACTAGAGGAGTTCACTAGTTCCCTGATCTCTTTTCCTCTTAGCAACAGTGATATGGGAAGAGGTTTTATGAAGCTTGGGAATCTACTAAGATATATGAGATCTCTGTCCTATCTAATCCAGCTGGCCAGCCGTGTAGCTGGAGACATTGACCAGATATGTCTTCTAGCTCAATCTGATGACAGTTAAGAACATGGATTTGAGAAGAGAAGAAAAGAATATTCTCCCAGGTTTCTGACTTGGTTGATAAGTCTGTGGCCAAGGACTTCTAAATATAACAGGGAATGCGGAGAGGTGCAGACTTTGAAAGGGAAGACTGATGAGTTTAATTATGAATTTACTATTAGGATGTCCTGAAAGATACCCACATGAATGTATCTAGTAAGCAGTTGGATAAAATAATCAGAAAATTAGGGAAGAGGTCAAATAATGTAGTATTAGAAGTCAACTAAAAGCAGAAACCAGAATTTAAATGTAGAAGAAAGGGAAAGCCATGAGAGAAGACATAAGGAATGATCTGAGAGTAAGAAAAACCAAAGAAGTTCCCACCCCAACAACAAAAATACATAAGAAAAAGATTTGAAAAGAAGGAAGAATGTATCAATAGTGTCAGATGTTGCAGGGTGAAATAACTGGGAACTGCCCCTTGGATTTGATAATTAAGGAGTCATAATCTTACTGAGAGAAATTTCATTGGGATGGCAGAAGGAGAAGCCTCATTACAGTATCTTGAGGTCTGATAGCAAGATGAAGAACTTTAAAAAGCATGTATAGGAGATTCTTTTAAGTTTGTAAGAAGAAAGATAAGATGGTAGTTAAATTTTTATAAAGCCTAGGATGCAGACCTTCCTCCTAATCCCTTAATGCCTAACCATTCTCTGAAGAGTGGGACTTCTCAGACAACCAGGACGTTCTTAGAAACCTAGGATGTGGCGGGTTCAGCAGAAACTAGCTTTTCTGCTACTTCACATACGTTGTATAACATTTCCATGCATATTACCCTCCTATGGAGGGTATTCCAGCTCTAATTCTTTGTTTCTCACTCAAAAACTATTGCCATAAAGTGAGTGTGAATGGTGACATAATTTTAATTTGTCTGTAATCTATTTTTGAAAAAACTTAATCATATACAAATTTGTTATTAATAACAAAGTCCATGCCTCCATGTAATTCGAGGCTCTACCCCAACTGTCTTACTCTACTTCCTAACTTTAGCCAGTACTTGAAAAAACTGCATAGGAGTTTATACAGAATACGGGCTGACCGTTGCATTTTAACCTCTGCACTGTAACTTTTGGCTCCCCTGATTTTTTTTTTTTTTTGAACCCTTCAAGTTCTTCTAAATGCGCAGCTTCTTATCAGGAACCACCTTAGGAATCTCAAGTCTGTTATTCTCTCCATCCTTACTGGGCATCATCTTAATAAGGTTCCTTAGTTTTTCCAGAATGCTAAAAATTGACTGACTTAGATAAAGAAATTACAGGTTGTTGCAAGCGCAAATTTATTCTGCTTTCTCTACCTGGGACCCTGAGAACACAGGGTCTCACTAGTCTAGGGAAATAGTGGTGTCCTTCCAAAACTCAGTTTTTGTTACACGGAAAATCCTTTTGTTATAGAATAATCACGATCTACCTCTGTTAATGGCCCCTTTATGCTGCTAAAGTGTCCAGCTTCATCCATTTGTCAGGGTCTTGGATTTTTGCCCTTTTAAACATGTCTTCCACATATATTAAATGCAACATGTCCAAACCTGTTGTAAGCAACTTGTTCCTAAATTTGCTTCTCTTTTTGGTTAATTATACTACCATGTCTTCAGTTGCCCAAGCCAGAAACCTGAGAGTTATACAAAATCTATTTACTCTGGCTCTTAAGTGACTGGATTGAAAATCTACTTTCCATCCTAATTGCCACTGCTCTACTCCAAGAAACCTTCATCTTTTACCTGGCTTACTGTGACAACCTCCTAACTGGTCATATTGCCTCCAGTATTACTTGCCTTTTATTCATTCAACCAGAAATATTTTTCAGAAATGCAAATTGATCATTTTATTCCCCTGCTTAAAATTCTTCAGTAGTTTTACCATTGTCCTTAGGTGGAAGTCCAAACTTTTATAATATGTGTCTTATAAGGTCTCTCATCATTTGCCTCCTCTTTGTGCCACTTTTTCACTTCACATTCTCTGCCTCAGCCATACCACTCTTTCAGTTCCTTGTGCTGCCATACTCATCCTCACTTTTGGGTTTCCCTACTTGCAATGCTTTGACTTTGAACCTCTTCTCTGTTTCAACCAGGTAACTCCTATTCATTTGTTCTTTATAATTTAGCTTAACTATTACTTCCTTAGAGAAAATTCCTGGAAATTCCTTAACTAGATAAGTTGTCTTTGTGCTCTTACAGCACCCTTTTGCATACGATAGCAATTCTAATTGCTTGTTCAGTCTTCGTAGACTTTAAGGTCTGTGAGGGAGGTTACTTTGCTATTTTGCCTGCTGTTGTGAGTTATTCAAAGATGGGAATGAACTTTTTGGGGAGCTTATGTTTCCCATCACCAGTAGTGTTCATGTGCAGGTTGAGTGGGTCCAAGTTGGGACTGAAATAGAGAACCATTGGAAAGCATTTAGTCTTTTCCAGTCAGGAGATTTTTTCCGAATTATCAAACATACATACATAGTTGTTTTAAAAGATTGTATGTTAATTAAAAAAATTTCACTGAATTGAAAATATCGAATATTCAATAACTATTGGTATATAGAAAAACCTAAGAAATATTTTACATTTAGAGCACTATGTCTGGAGTTTTTGAAATTGATGTTATATTTTGTATCTCTTATAGGCGAAATGAATCAGAAGTACAAGGAACTAAAAAAACGAGAGGAAAATATGGACAGTAAGTGACCTTACTGATATGAAAATATTCTCAGGTATTTGTTCATGTATACCAAATCAGAGATTTCATTTTGGGAAGATACAGTGGCTAATAATAAATGCAGAAGTGTGGACATTCAAAGTATTTGCCTTGAAGAATTAATATCTAGCATAATTTAGGAATGGGTAGAGAATTTTAAAAAGATTTTGCATGTTTGTGTGTGTATGAGTAGTTTTGTGCTAGGGATAGATTCTAAAGCTAGTACTTACATTTATTGTTTGTATAGAGACCACTTACTGATTGAATGTTGAATGTTCTCTTTTTTCCTGCTTCACTGTATTCATCTTTAGTATCTTTTGCCTTTTTTTTTTTAGCTTTTCATAATACTTCCTCTCATTATTTATCAGCCTTTACCTCAGATCTTGCTACTTGGTTCTGTTACTGACTGTAGCTTTTAGTAGCCTTCTGTTGCAGCTTCTCATTTACTTTTTAAAAATCTTAACTTTGTAAGTAGAGCTTCACTTAAACTTAATTGTGTTGTACATTCATAAATTTTAAAAAATTGATCTTTATTATCTGTTACTGGTTTCCCTTTTAATCATTTTTGCTAGAATGTAAAGTTTTATTGGTCCAATGTTAATTGTTACCTTCATAGAAGCATGCCATAAAGTAGTAATTGCCAACTCTGATTTAATAATATCCCAAGATTTCTTTAAAATCTCAGCAAATACTTGGGGCGCCTGGGTGGCTCATTCGTTAACCGTCTGCCTTCGGCTCAGGTCGTGATCCCAGGGTCCTGGGATCGAGCCCCACGTCGGGCTCCCTGCTCAGCGGGAAGCCTGCTTCTCCCTCTCCCTCTGCCCCTGCTTGTGTTCCCTCTCTCGCTGTCTCTCTCCCTCTCTCTGTCAAATAAATAAATAAAATATTAAAAAAAAAAAAAAACTCAGCAAGTACCAAAAATTATCTCAAAATTAATTCGTTGTTTCTTGCTAACAGTAAAGTTATTTTAACTGTAAGTTTTTATTTTTGAAAGAGCCATAGAAATACCTTAAGAATATGAAAAAGAGTAAATTACGTACTAATTCTGTATTAGACAAGAGAAAGGAAGATTTCTTAGAATATTTATAATGTGAATAAATTATTTAATTTACTTAGTTGAGATTAATGCAACATTTTAAAGAAAATACTCATTTTCAGGTGAAATAGGTAATTAGCAACTATTTTCCATATTAAAATTAGTGGCTAATTTTAAGTATGAATAATTATAGATATATCAAGGAGACCTGTAAAAACAGATTTTTTTATGTTCTCCTTAATATCAGCTGTTACTTCTGAGCCCAAATTTTTAACCTTTAGTTTATTTGTATTAAGATCATAACTATTAAGCTTTAAAAGCTGGAAAGTATGTAGAAATATTCTTATTGAGTAATTTAATTACCCTTGGGTTAATAAAAGATTACATAGTAATAATTGAAAATTTGCTTTGAATTTCTAGAAAGTACTGTTAAGATCTATAGATCAGAACTTATATAGTGTTAACTATATTAACAGTAGCTTCTCATCATATTTTGAATCTGCAGCTTTTATTGAGACTTTTGATGAAACTAAGAATCAGGAACTGGAAAGGAAGGCACAGATAGAAGCCAGCATTGTTGCACTTTTGGAGCACTGTAGTAGAGTGAGTACCATGTACCTGTCTTAGCGTCCTCATTATTTTTACTGTGATTACCTTTCCAAATACAGCTCAAAAAAATGCAGTGGTTCGGGGCACCTGGGTGGCTCAGTCGTTAAGCGTCTGCCTTCGGCTCAGGTCATGATCCCAGGGTCCTGGGATCGAGCCCCACATCGGGCTCCCTGCTCTGCGGGAAGCCTGCTTCTCCCTCTCCCACTCCCCCTGCTTGTGTTCCCCCTCTCGCTGTGTCTCTCTCTGTCAAATAAATAAAATCTTTAAAAAAAAAAAAAAAATGCAGTGGTTCACTATTGCATCTGTTCATTTAATCTGTTTCCTTTAAATTCCCTTGCTTATTGTTTTATTTCTTTAAGCTATTAATTTGTGTATTTCTAGCAAAATTCAGCTATGGATGATAGGGGAAAAGGATGAGATATGTATAATGTCAATTTTTAGCGTAGGTAAGGGGCCAATTCAGAGTAATTATTATGATTTTCTTCCATTGTTGACGTATCTGAACTTGGAGAAGTAACGTTTGCACAGAAACTTCAAAATCTAGATGTTCTAATAGAAAATGTTGATACATTTTTACACGGTCATTTGTATTATGAATAGAAGGGATTCTTTTCTTGTAAGAACCTACAAGAGTATAGGTTATCAAGGAATATCTTGATTCATAAAAAAATGTTTGTTGAGCAGCTACTAATGAGTGGTGGAATAGAAGGAAAAATGTGCAGTCTCTTTTAAATATTCTATGTGTCTTAAGACTCCAAGCAGTTCTTAAAATAGTGTATTTGAATTTCTTCTACAGTGAGATAAAATTCAGAATTGTTTCTTTTACATTAGCTTTAATTTAGTCTCCTTATTGCAAAAACCTGACTTTTAATCTCACTATATTTTTCTAAACATACATGATAAATGATGTATTTCAAAAAAGAATACCAATTCAGAACATCTAGTTGTTTAGCAGTGTTTTCCAAGAGTTTTCTTGGAGAATCAAATCAGTTGAATTTTTTCCATTTTTATTTCTCTACAAATACAGAATATAAATCGTATGAAACAGATCTCTTCTATCACCAATCAAGAGCTGAAGATGATGCAGGATGATCTCAATTTTAAATCTACGGAAATGCAGAAATCACAAAGTACAGCTAGGAATTTGACTTCAGGTGAGAAAACATAGATTTTAATATCCTGTTTTTTTCTGTAACAAATTGAAACTTTAAAAATTTAATGGTATTTTAGTTGATATTTTTGAAAGGCTGAGAATATAATTTATGATTGCTTATTGCTCTAGTCTTTTATAGCCTCAGAATTTTGTGTGACTTTTCACATCAACTTAATAGTATTTCATTGGGACATTCTGATTTGTTTTTAACATTTACTGAATGCTTGCTCTATGCTTGTGCTATAACGTAGGTACACAGAGATTAAAAAAAAAAAATCCAGTCTCTTTCCTCAAGGGACTTTCAGCCTGGTGGGATAATGACAAAAATCAACTAAAATATAATGAAACAGTACTATGATAGAAGGATAAGGAGTAACAGAATTACATTGGGTTCCTATCCACCCCAGTCTTGGGTAGTTAGGAGAGGAATCCTCGAGGAAGTAATATTTTAATTATAATTAGTTTCAGCCATTATAACCGACATGATACCAGAGCAACACTCTACAGTAGAAATGTAATGCCAGCCACATATATAATTTCCAATTTCCTAGTAGGTAGGTTATAAAAGTAAACAGACAGGTGAATTTTAATAATATACTTTTATTTAATTAGTTTATCCAAAAGATTATTGTTTAAACATGTAATCAGTACAAAAATGATCAGTGAGATTTTGCAGTTACAGTCCATCTCAACTTGAGACTAGACATAGTCAACTGTTCAAAAGCCGAATGTAGCTAATAGCTGTCATTTGGACAGTGCAGATAGAGATTAAAAACAAATACACAAAATAGAGCTTAAAGAGTTTAGGATAGTGTGTCAACTACACTCAAAAAAAAGAATTTAGGATAAAGTCAAAATTTGTGTAGAATCTTTGGTTCTTGAACTGATGGTTTCTAACTATGGGTGTTTTTTATGCTGGTGTGTGGTGACTTTGAATTAGCCATGGTTTTTTTTTTCCTACCTGGAATTACACTGGCAGTTAGTGAAATTATGAGGAATAAAGAATTAATATTTGCTAACTTAAAAATGTTGAGATTCTTTAATTGGAATAATGGACCCACAATATTTATTTATCTGGAATCCCAAAATCTAAAAAGCTCCTGGCAGCAAAACCTGACCTGACCTGAACTGACATGAGGCTATTTATAGTCTTTAATTATCCTACCTAATGTGACTGTTCATAATTTTTGCTGCAGAAATAGTTATGTACTTGATGACAGGATGCTGCCCTAAGCCCTGCTGTGGGAGTTATAATATATGTGCTATGTTACTTTTCTAAAATCTGAAGAATTCTGCATTCTAAAATGGAGTTACCTGGGAGTTTTATATAAGGATTATAGACCTATAAAAGTATGCTGAATGTTATCAATATACAGTTGAATTTAGGTTGATGATATAGGTGGATAGTAGTTATTTTATACATTAAAGTATATTTTATCTGCCCAGATTTATTTAGAGTTTGTTTGCTGTAGTTTTATTTGTATATCTGAATTATATGCTAAGAAACTAGAGAAGGTATGTTCTGAATTTGATTTATTGGTTTGACTATCAGAATTTTTTTAATTGTAATAAAAAACACATAACATAAAATATATCATCTTAACCATTAACCATAAGTACAGTGTTGAGCAACAGATGTCTAGAACTTTTTCATCTTGCAAAACTGAAACTTCTACCCATTGAACAACTGTCCATTTCCCTCTCATCCCCGTCCTCTGCTAACCACATTCTACTTTGTTTCTGAGTTTGACTACTCTGAGTACCTCTTATAAGTGAAGTCATGCAATATTTGTCTTTTTGTGAATGGATATTTTACTTATCATAATGTCCTCGAGGTTCATCAGTGTTGTAACATGTGACAGGATTTCCTTTTTTTAAAGGCTGAATAATATTCTATAGAATGTATGTATTACACTTTTTATTCATTCACTGATGACATTTAGGTTGTTTTTACCTCTCGGTTATTGTGATTCATGCTGTAATGAACATGGGTGTGCAAATATCTCTTTGAGATCTTTTCAAATATGAGTATTTTTACATCTTTATTTTCTTCTTTCTATAAGCCAAAGAATTTTATCTTTAATTATTCCATCTAGGAAATCTCTGTTTTGTGTTTTAGATGGTAGTTTTAAGGTTTTCATTTATCTAAAGTCAATTTCAATTTAAAGTTTTTGCCTCCTTTAAGCTGTCTTTGTATAATGACTGTTAAGAAACACATTTTTTAAAAAGTAAATATCAATACCAGGAAATGAATTCAATTATAAGGACTTTGATCCTTTCATACTTTTATACTTTGTGTTTACATTTCCTTTTAAAAACTAGTCATTATATTTTCTCCAGTGATGTAGGGTTGAAAAGAATGAGAACTGGCTTTAATTTTATTCGAGTTTATTACTATGATAAGGGTTTTACTGAAAATTTTCTTTATTAAGGTTTGAATTTTCTGGCCCTTACGATTAATTTCATTCACTCAGTTATTTTTAAGTGTTAATTTAAACCAAGCATATAAATTATTTTCCCTCTCTTTCCTTAACACCATCCCCCATCAAAATTTTCTTGTATCTAGAAGTCACCATAAGAAGTCTATACTATTCGGGGCGCCTGGGTGGCTCAGTCGGTTAAGCGTCTGCCTTCTGCTCAGGTTATAACTGCCTTCGGCTCAGGTCATGATCCCAGAGTCCTGGGATCGAGCCCTGCATCCGGCTCCCTGCTCAGCGGGCAGCCTGCTTCTCCCTCTCCCACTCTCACTCCTCCTGCTTGTGTTCCCTCTCTCGCTGTCTCTCTCTCTGTCAAATAAATAAATAAAATCTTAAAAAAAAAAAAGAAAAAGTCTATACTATCCTTGTTCACTTTTCAGAGATAATGAATTTTACATTCCCACTTGTGAATTGCCTCCCTTTGGCTCTTGCATTTATAATTGGAAATTATATAGACTTTATATAATTCTATATAATTAAAAACTAAATTCTATATAATTAAAAATTAAATTAAAAATTAAAATCAGGAAAATCAGAGTTGTGTAGGGTTGATTTTCTTCATGTACTCTGTTTCTTAATGAGCCAATATTATTCCCAAAGGGACAAAATTATTTCTTGGAGGGAGAGTAAAAAAATCTTGAATATAATGGTTTGTGGCCCCCCAAAAGGGTCACTGTACAAGTTTCATGGGAGGGTGGTGATTAGCAAAAAAAATAGTCTACAGAAGACTCCTTGGGGGGACAATAATGGGGAAAAAAGAGATTGCAAAACACTGGTGTATTGCATGAGTAAAGAGGCAAGGAATCTGTCAGCAATAGTTTTTATTTATATTTTTGGAAAGGAAACTCCAGGGAATAAACAAATGCACTGATGGCAGAATATTTCAGAAACATTTCCCCATGTCAAAGTGGTTCCTTCTGAGATTTTGCTACTATGTACACACTGCTTAGTAAACTTTGCAACTTCATAGCATATCAGAAGGAACTAGTCTGCATCCTCTTCCTGTCTCTTCCCTTGGAGAAGTTTTTAGCTTTTCAAGGGGACCTGCTGTTAAAGGAAGATAAACTTTATCCTATACCAACCAACCATTTTCTCCCTTTCTCTAGGAAAAGCAGTTTGTATAGCTCCTAAATGTATGTCCCTAATAGATCTTCAAATTAAACTTCAGTTAGAGTTCAATAACATTTCACTGAACAGTCAAAATATACAAGCTACATACATTTTCTTTTTGGAGCATTGAAACACCATAAGCCTCAGTGACTTTGATTTAGCACTTTGATTTTCATTTTAATTGTTTTCAACCCTAGTTGAGATATGAATCCAACAAAACAAAACACACTCAACAACATTTAAGTCCATATATCCATATGTTTTTTTATAACATATATGTCAGTATGTTTGGATTTTAAGACTCTTCAAGGGACAAAAGGAAATGCTCAAGTTTAATTATACCAATTTCAATTTGGTTGGGAAAAACTTCCTTTCTTAAATCACTGTCTTTTGAAGCCTTAAAAAAACTATTTGATAGTTTATGCTCTATGATAATTGTTATACATAGTCATTCAATTTTGAACATGATATTTTTACTGTAATGTTACCTTCCACCTATATTTTAATCCATAATCTCTCTGGTTTCATAGGTAGAAGAAGAAGGTTTAATAGCAGCTTTGTATTTGATTTTCCCATTAGAGAATCTGTATAGATAATAAAACTCAATTCCAAGTAAATTTTGCTAAATTTTATATGAAGAAACCAACTTAATGCCTTCCCCACATAGAGGGAGACATCATGGTAAGAGGGCAACAAAGTGCCAAAATCCACGCATAAACTCTATTCAGATCCTAATCTGACTAGTGAACTATGTAAGCATTTGGGTAAACTTTAGGGGCCCTAGAAAAAAGCAGCAGTTAGAAGTTGAAAGAACTGAGTACAGAGATTTTACATACTGCCTACTCCAAAGGAGAAAAGTTTAGGGTTTTAGTTCAGCAAAGTTTATTGCTCATTATAAGTCAACACTTTTCAAAGGAGCACAATATAATCCAGAATCTGTACGACATGTCATTTAAAGTGTCAATTATACTATAAAAATTTATAGGAAAATTGAGTCAAGGGGAAAAACAGTTAATAAACATTAAGCCTAAGATAATCCAGATGTTGAAATTAACAGAAGACTTTAAGCGTTTAGAAACATATTTAAGGATTTAAAGGAAAATAAAATCATAACAGATGAGCAGATGGAGAATCCCACAGAAAAATAAAAATTACAAAAAGAGAACCAAGTGAAGAGTCAGTGAACTTGAGGATCAATAAAAATAATATAATCTGGAGAAGAAATAAAAATGAGCAGAACCTAAATGATCTGTGGGACAGTTTCAGGCAGTCTGACATACATATAATTGGAGTCCCAGAAGGAGTGGAGGCATAGAGAATAGGGGAGAAAAGATAGTTGAAGAAACAATAATGGCTGAAAATTTCCCAAATTTGATGAAAAACCAAGTTCTACAGATATAAGAAGCTCATTGAA